TTAATGTTAACCGAATGATATTACAAAATAGCATCATCAAGCTTCATCAGACTTATACAGCCAACAGCCATCTGTTAGACATATAAATCTTCATCTATTGTTTTTAGTCGCACATCTAAAAAAATCTTTTGCACTTGTGTAAGAAAACACACAATAGCAGCATTTGATTTGCATGCTCTCTATCTCATCCACAGAGAATCCTATACACAAAGACATCTCTTCAGGTTTGACAAAGCAGACAAGAACATCACAGCATTTCAGCTTTAAGCAACTGTGGCTGGAATTTGTTTAACTGTGGTCTAAAGGACAGATTGCATTTGTTTAGTTAGACTGGAAAAGTTGTAATGAATAACTAGGTTCTATAGAAGTTTTTTTTTTTTAATTTCTTTCTTCTCTTCAAAGTTTACTTCATGTCCAATTGATGATTAAATATCCTCATAAAAATGCTTTGTAAATATGTATCAGAAAAAAATATTATGGCTACATTATTTGCTTATTTAATTTAAACCTCTATAATTTGTTGGAATAAAGTCTGAGCATTGTAATAAATATCTGTGTCTTTTGTATGGCCATTTGAAAAGTTAAAAGTGCAAAGCTGGTTTAGAAAATTATGTGAACATGAATATAAGACTAAGTAGTCCTTATTTTCTAAATAAAAAAGAATGAAACAAATGTCACTGAGGAATTGACAAGTTAAATTTTTTAAAGTCTAGGCTCAGTTGCTTCTCATTCAGGGGTGGTTTGGAATTTTTTTCCCCCAGAAACCCCTCCCAAATGACTGAAAAAAAAAAAACAACATTCAGTCATCATTACATAGAGCACCAGTGACCTCAAATACCGAAACATCAAAAGAGTGGGTCAGAGAGCTTCTGGTGAACTTTCACCCAACTCACCACCCTACATTTCTACATTTACAATGTTAGTCAGCGAATGAGAGTAACTGTGTATATAAACCACTGGTGAATAACATCTTCCAGGCTTCAGAACCATAAAATACACAAACAGAGCTATGTCTTCCTTTATCTCATATACAGTATAATTTCCATCTTCTCTCACTACCCTCACCATATTTGTTTTTAACAGCAAGACTAATTAATTTATTAATACATTTGTTTTTGCCAATTCTTCATTGATCAGTGGCATCTGAAATAGTAAATTAAACAGGCTGTGAGAGGTTTTCCCCATTTTTCAATTTCTTGCATGTACCACACACCTCTCTTCCCTACATTTGAAGTGTCAGCAGCTGTCCTCCGGCACATGAATCTGGTGTCCATTTTTTTCTTTTCTTTTCTTTTTTAACTGCACTCCCAGTCATTCCACACACTGCATACATATCTAAACTGGCTGATTTACACTGTTACAGCAAAGGGACTTTCCTATATAGCTGCACAAACAGCACATGCGACAACTGGAATTCAAACATTTCTGCTGATTTCTGCACTACACTAACACAGATTAGCTCATCAATTGCTCAGTTTACTAAATCTGATGCAAGGCAAATATGTTATTCTTAGAGGGGAATTCATTCAACATCTGATGCAATGTAACAGTAAGTCCACATAACTGATACATGTCCAAAATTGCTATTTGATGATGTAAGAAGAACTGTCGGTGCCAGACATGGAGAAATCCATTTAGTATATTTTTAGTTATTTAAAAAGCTTAACCTTAAAGCCATTCAATTTTATAGAAACGTTTCTAACCTGAGACATGAGATATTCATCTGAATTCAACTGGATTTTATTTGGTTTATACAAAGGAAGTAGCAAGAATCCATACTAACTCCACCCATAACCCTAACGTTAATGTTAACTGTGACCAAAGGAACTTGAGTTGTGCAAATTCTTTAATAAATTTTACAAAAGTGGTCACAAAATTTGAGCCCATGCTCAACCTTTTTGTCTTGTAAGTTGTCTGACACTGTTGTTATTTATTCCAGTGTATTGTTGTGACACCATGCTGATACCGAACCATTAAATGCAGTACATGCCTAATTTGTGCTCATTGCCTAGTTAATGGGATGGAAAAATGGAGCTCACCAATTTGAAAAACATTTGAGCTAATTACCCACCACAGATTTTAGCCAATTGATGGACTATACAAGCAAATGGGATATTTAAAAACATATACTGTAAAAAAATAAAAATAAAGAAAAAACTGACAAGTTTCACCTTTTCTGCACAAGTATTTTAATTAGCTACAGAGAAACTTGTGTTGGTTTTTAATTACTATCTCTCCTCTATAATCATGTCAATATTAAGATTAGATTCCTGTGATATTGCAATTATATGATGAATAGTTTAAAAAGCAAGATTTATAATTATCAGTAACATATAAAGACTCTATTGGGGGGGTCTGTGTGTGTGTGTGTGAGTGTGTGTGTGTGCGTGTGTGTTTGCGAGTGATAACATGCTTATTTAACATTCGTCCATGCTCACAAACCCCATGAAGAGACATAATGAGACAGCCTTCCTCATCCTTTATATTCACCCTGTACAAAACTAGACTACATTTCAGACCACACACCATTCAAATCCATCACTGAATTAATCAGCCAACTGGAAATGAAAAATATCAGCAGCCTTGCAGGGCTACAGCAGCAAGACATTTCCCACTGCGAGTAGACACCACAGTCCTCAGAGCGCCACAGGTGGGTCTCTTTGTATCCCCTCCCAGTGGTGCCCCATTTTGGGAAAGCCCCTCAGCAGCAGGCTGCAACTGTCTCTAACTGAAACCTGAAATACAGGCCTGAACTCTAGATTTTCCCACTGCATCTGGGGGATTGATTCCCAGGGATCTGAGCTAAAACCTCTTAAATGTCCCCCTGGCTATTGTCTTTCCGTTTCAGCTGAAATTCTCAGCATTCAGTATGGGGTCAGGCTGTGCAGGAATGCTCAAGGTTTGACAGGCATCCCAGCTTTTATATTAGTGTCTGTTCTAGTAGGCGTGTTTACACACATACACACACAGGGGCAAGCACATGCACACTTACGCTCACACATGCACTCAGTCACCCACACACGTACAGCTACACCCCACCTACACAAATACCTATATCCAAACACCCACACACTCACACACGCACACTCACTCTTCTGGGCAAACACATGCGAGTGCACGTTTAGACACATTTGCACTTAAACACACATCCACCCACTCACACCCGTGTGGAGGCACAATAAGTTTTGCAGGCTAGTGGAGGTTTTCTCTGATCTGGTTTCCTCTGGTTGGGAACAGACAATAAAACAAACAACCATCCCCAGTGAATGTACCCTGTGTGTTGGACCAGCTGCTGTTGAGTTTGAGTGGATTAGGGCAAGAGCAGAAAGGTGTGTGTGTGTGTGTGTGTGTGTGTGTTTTATATACCTGATCTGTAACTGCCACGCAACTGTAAAGAACAAAGACACTGCCAGGTTTTTGTCCCTCCTTCCAATGCTACAGGCGTGCACTCTCACTGACAACAATTAGAGCTCTCTCTCTCTCTCTCTCTCTCTCTCACACACACACACACACACACACACACACACACACACACGCACACACACACACCCTGCAACACTCCAGCCTCTACAGCACACAAGCTCATCACTCATACTACTCAGTGTACTGAAAGCACTCTACACACTCACAAACTACAACAATGCCATCCTGCTACTGACTTTTATTCATTCTGATTGACAGAAAATTACCCAGATTTGCCTAAAATGTAATCATGCACAAAATGATTTCAAATTGAAGAGAGGACTTTGCTATGATAAAGTGTGTTAAACTATAAATGGAGGACTCTAGACTGTATCAAAAGAAAGCCCAATATACAATATAAACATGACTAGTCCCTTTTTATTTTCCTATACACAAAGTCTTTGAAAGAGTTTCTGGAGTTGTTCTTACCTGTGCACATGGCTGAGATTTTCCATATGCAGAATGCTTTGTCTCTGCTTCTCTTCTCTTCTTCCTTCCCCTCTCTGCTCTTTTGTGTAACTGCTAGTGACAACCTGCAAAATCCTGTTGAAGTACTGCTATCCTCTGTGTGTATATGTATGTGTGTCAGTAAGTGTGTATGTATTTCTCAGGCCGAGCCCTTGCTGCTTGCTGTGCTTATCTGCATGTCACTGTGAGTGGCTTATCCACTGGCAGTGGGTTTAACTACATAGCATCTCTCCACCCCCGGGGCCGCATAGTAAGCATGCGTGAGCGTGGAGGCTTCCTGCCTACATACAGCACTCAATGTCAGCTCCCCCTACATACATTTTACCTCACATGCACATATACACTCCCTCACCTCCTACTTCAAAACATGTGACCAGCCTACCTCAGCAAATCCCACACATAGACTAGCCAGTTTTCTCTGTATTTGTTAATACTCTCTGACTCTCTCTTTTCAAAAAAAAAAAAAAAAACAACACATTTTCCACTTCTTTTCAGTATGTAGATATCTGTTTATTATGTGTTTATTGAACACAATTTCAGCCGGCAGTTAAATTAATAGTTAGAATTGTAATATTCATGCACAGCATAGTAGGTAGTAATGTAAATAATAGTGGGCTTTTGCTGAAATAAGACAGTTAGGGGAAATTACAATGTTAATATTACGTTATGACAATAGAGTTTATTGACATTAGCAATAAAAAAGATGCACCATAAAATCTTTTTTTATTTATTTTGTTTTGTTTGTGTGATGGTTTGTTTGTTTGTAGTTAAATGGAATAGCCTATGTATTAAAGAAAGAACATTTCTGGTGAAATTCAGATAAAAGATAAAAGGCAAAAAGAATATCAGCATTCATATATGGATTTTAATGCCATCCTCTTTGACATGTGAAGATACTGTCGTTCTTCTTCTTTTGGCAGCTCCCGTTAGGGGTCGCCTCAGCAGATCACTGGTCCGCATATTTGATTTGGCACAGTTTTTATGCCGGATGCCCTTCCTGATGCAAACCTCCCCACTTATATCAGGGCCTGGAACTGGCACTGGAAGTGCACTGCTGTGTGCGGGGTGGGTTCCCTGCCTGGGAATCGAACCCGGGCCACGCAGTGAGAGCATCATGGCCTAACCACTAGTCCTCCAGGGACCCTGAAATGTGAAGATAATGTAATGCACTGAGAAGTGGGGTATTGTGTTGTACAAACCTGAGAATAACCAGATACCTGACTATCTCCTGTGGATTAAATAGGAGGATTCAACTAGACAGAAATATTTGTTCACATTAAATTGCCCTGTAATGCTGTCTTTGTTATTGAACTTGATCACTCACACCTTAAAATGAAAATAGGTCACTTTTTTACTTAACACTTGTTGTGTGTAATGTTCACTTTTCCACACACATCTCATGGTAGTCATGGTAATCAGTTTTCATCTAACTTTCATTTCATTCTGAAACTCTCCAAAAAAATAATTTCCCCAAAGATTTACAGGATACAAAGAAACAGCAAGCATGTATTTGGATGACAGTGTGATCAAATCATAGGACAGTGGTGCACAGTATTTTTCTGTATGTGCTAAGGAAGGGGGGGGGGGGGGGTCTATTTATTCAAGTTTCCGAGAAGCTGTTCAAAGCAGTGTTGCTGGTCAACTTACATATCCCCTCTAAATTCTTAGCTTTTCATAAGAAGGTCAGAAATGTGAATCATGGCTGTTTGAGAGACACATTATTAAATAATAAATAAATTAAATACATAAAACCTCATTAATGTGCAGCTCTGCACATTCTTTCACAACCTGAAGCTGCAGCTTTTCTGAGAGCATCTGAACATCTGTGCAGGAATGTCAGCCATCTCCCTGTAAGTGTGCATACAGTGGGGTCCAAAAATCTGAGACCGCAAGTGAAAATGCTTCTATTTTGCATTGTTTTCTAATTTAATACAGCAATTTCATTATAAATTAAATTATTTACAACAAAAATTAGACTCTTTGAAATAAACTCACAGGTCACATTAATAGCAACACCTGTACAGCTGCTTATTTATGCAGTTATCCAATCAGCCGATCATGTGGCAGCATCACAATGCATAAAATCATGCAGATACAGGTCAAGAGCTTCAGTTAATGTTCACATCAAACATCAGAATGGGGGGAAAAAAGTGATCTCTGTGACTTTAATCATAGCATGGCTGTTAGTGTCAGATGGGCTGGTTTGAGTATTTCAGAAACTGCTGATCTCTTGGGATTTTTACAGTCTGTAGAGTTTACAGAGAATGGTGCAAAAAAACAAAAAACACCCTGTAAGTGGAGGATCTGCAGGCTGAAACAGCTTGATGAAACCAGACTGGTTTGAGCTGACAGGAAGTCTATAGTAACTATGGTAGTGAGCGATGGTGGAAACAACTTTATTGATAAGAGAGTTCAGAGGAAAATGGTCAGGATGGTTGGAGCTGTCAGGAAGGATATAGTAAATCAAATAATCACGCTTTACAACCGGAGCAGAAAAGCATCTCAGAACACACAACACATCAAACCTTGAGGTGGATGAACTACAACAGTAGAAGACCAAATCAGGTTCCACTCCTGTGAGCCAAGAGTAGAAATCTGAGGCTATCATGAGCACATGCTACAAACTAGACAGTTGAAGACTGGAAAAAAGACCAGCTGACCTAAAGATTATTTGTTTTACTATATCCTTCCCGGCAGCTCCAACCAATCTTGTCAGTTTCCTCTGAACTGTCTTATCAGTAAAATTGTTTCCACCCACAGAACTTTCGCTCACTCAGTGTTTTTTGTTTTTTGCACCATTCTCTGTAAACTCTGTGTGTGAGACTGCTGTGAGTGAAATTCCCAGGAGATCAGCAGTTTCTGAAATACTCAAGCCAGCCCATCTGGCACCAACAATCATGCCACGGTTAACATCACAGAGATCACACTTTTTTCCCCATTCTGATGTTTGATATGAATATTAAGTAAAGCTCTTGACCTATATCTGCATGATTTTTTTTTTTGCCACAAGATTTTCTTATTAGATAACTGCATGAATGTACAAGTGTACAGGTGTTCCTAATAAACTGGATGATGAGTGTATTTGCGTGAATTTCAGGGTTTCTTAGTATTTGGTATGTCCCCTTTTCACTTTAATGACAGTGTGCACTTGAGCTGGCATGGACTCCACAAGTTTGCACAAAACCATATGATCCATTTTAGATCAAATTCATCAGATCATTTTCTGAAAAGTTATACAAACAACAAACAAACAAAAAACCCTGTCACAGTGTAGGCATTCTGAATGTGTTACTGTATTTGTAGCTATATCAATTGCTTTCTGTGTGTTGTAATCCCATGTATTAACGTTTACTTTATACTGCTCTGTTCTTCCTTTAGAACCTCTGAATTGTTTTCAGTATTTGCTTGTTATTTGGTGGATACATAGTTCTGTAACATGTACTGCAGTCAAATCTTCAAACAACTAGATGTTTGGATTGAACTAAGACTCACTTGTAAGTCACTTTAGATAAAAGCCTCAGCCAAATGAATAAATGTAATGTGTTAGACGAAGCAATCACATAGATACTTTAATCCATTAGCTTTAGCTATGCATTAACAGTATGTGGGTGCATGAATGACTTTGGGATTACTTATCGTTGTTGATAATTGTTGGCTATTTTAAAAAGCACTGACAAAAGACATTTATTCATTTACATTCAAGAAATGTGCATGCAGGTTAAAATTATATGTGGGCAGATGATGGGGAGGAAGTTTTCATTCTTTGATGCCATCCATGAAAAATGTATAGATTGTGCAGGAAATCATGAACCTTATTCACTGATGTAGTCCTATCCTTCTACAAACACACATCATCACACCACTTACACTCCAGCTGAAACAAAAATATGCATTCATTATTCTTTAAAGATCACTGCAACACTGATTAATACAGTATTCTTAATTAGGATTATAAAGAGAATGGAAAGACTAAGGTAAAAGCCTTAGTTCAGCGTAGATCAGCTATTAATGACTCCACCAGGCTGCGTATATATTTTATATATTTAAGTGATAATTACCTAAGTGGATTTCTGAGTGAAAACACACTCATATGTTCATGATTTCATGGGGTGGGTTGTGGGCTCTGTTGATGAACTTTCCATCTTTTTGAAAGATCTTTATCATTTGACATGTTGGTGAGAATCGGTTTATAGGCTGCTTTATAACAGCCTATAGATGGTTTATAAATTAACTACATTGAACTATCCAAATAAATTGTTATTATTTATAAGATTGTGTAATTGATAATGTCTAGGTGTGGAACCTGAAAGAAACCTGAAAGAGCTCACACGGATTTCAGAGGAACTATAACAGTTGAGAGGGGTTTCACTGGATCTCATATGATTGATTCTGTAAGGAAAGCTGTGATTGCTAACCCTGCCCCTCTCTCTAACCAAACTTTTCATAACAGTTTAATAGCAGTTGTGAAAATGCAATGTGAGACTGTGCGTTGGTTTAATAGTGTTGCTATTAATCATACATGAGTAAAGAAAAAGCACAAGGCTTTTACAAAGAAAGAAACTTAGAGAAAATTTTGTCTTTCAAATGAATTTTATATGAACATGAGGAAATTACACTCTAATATATATTATACTTACTGCTGCCATTCAGTATAAAAACCCCACGAAGCTTCTGTTTATTTCAGCAAACCTCTCTATGGATTCTGAAACTGATACCTGTCTAATTCTTCTCACTGTAACATTAATAGTTTTAAGTGTTATTTTATCTGGTAACGCACTGATGTGCTTTCAACTACTCAATATATGGTAAGTTATGTGGAGGAGGGCATGCTGGTAAGATACTCCTCTCATTTTGACAGTGAAGGGAATTTCCCTTGTAATTTCACTGCAGTTAAAACAAAGAAAGATATCAGTAAACCAAAACACAGTGCCTATTATCAGAACCATGGAAATTATTCAAATTTGAGCTGAAGAAACAAGAGATGGTGATCTTAAAATCAAGAGATTATCTTTTACGCCAAAAGAGTGTTATTTCCATTCCAGATGTGTGTCCTTCGATAGACGAACTGTAGGTTAAAGAATATGGTATGTAAATTAATTAATTATATTAATAGCATTTGTTCCTGGACGTTTTGCATATACTGTAGCATATCCAAGTGTCTGCCATTATTATTATTATTATTATTATTTTGATTGTTATTGTTATTGTTATTATTATTTTAATCAATCAATCAATTAATAAATTCTTAGCATATGGAGTAAATTGTAGTGTCATGCTTGTGTTCTTCAAAAGCACCTTGTTTTTCAGTACAGATTCCACTGGTATCTGTCATGTGAACAGCGAATTCTGCATCAGACTCCATTTCCTAAAATGCACCTCCACCTACAAATATGGCCACTACAGACTTCAACTCCCAGCTCATATGTTCAAATTCACCCGCTGCACACACCTGGACTCAATTACCACCACACACTATAAAAGCACACTCGCAGCTCAAGGACATTGCGAGGTATTCGTTCAGCTCTGTTTACACATCTGACACACCAAACCTTTTGATTCATATTTGCTACTTTGGGTTCTGACCCACATTTGTTCTCTCATTTTGTGATCCTTGCCTCATTCTTTGATAACTGGTTTGTATATCACCTGACCTCGTGCTGGTTTCTTGACTCTGAACTTTGTTTTACAATTTGGATTTGTTTGTACCTGCCAGAACATTTAAATGAAAGCATTATCTGCAACTGTTGCTGTCTCTGCCACCTGACAATATCAATCATACAAACACACGTCATAATAAAACAATTTCTCATAGCATTGTTGCACTTCACATTGTTTTTCTTGCCATACAAACTAACCTTGAAATTCTGGACTTTCAAGGGACTTTCAAGGGACATCAAAATCAAATTTAACATTTCTGCTTCACCTGAACAAAGATGGTGACTGCAGTGAACGGCAATGTAAAAAAAAAAATCTGACCCTTCAAAATGTATTCGATTGCATATTGTATAACACACTGAGAGTTTGCTTTGATCACATGTCTGTCAAGTATGCCTTATCTCATTGTTCAGCTAGTACTGCAATTTTGTTAAATATTGAAGTTTAATTGCACTTGTCAACGTGATACAGTGATATAATTAAGGC